CCTCCTCTCCTCTCCTCCTCCTCCCTCCCTCCCTCCCTCCTTCGCTCCCTCCCCTGCCTCCTTTCTTCTCTCCCTCCCCTCCCTCCCTCCCTCCCTCCCCGCCCTCCCTTCATCCCTCCCTCCCTTCCTCCCCCCCCATCACTCATGCCTCTTCCCTCCTCCCTCCTCCCTCTTCCTTCCTTCATCCTCCCTCCTCTCTCTTGATGTGCACACAGACTGCTGTACTGCGCCTCCCTCCCCCTCCTCCCTCATGCATCCTCCCTTCTCCCTCCTTCCTCCTTTCCCCTTTTGCTCTCCTCTCCTCCCTCCTCCCTCATCCCCCCTCCCCCCTCCTCCCCCTCCTCCCCCTCCTCCTCCTCCCCCTCCTCTCCTCCTCCTCCTCCTCTCCTCCTCTCCTCCTCCTCCTCCTCCTCCTCCTCCTCCTCCTCCTCCACCCTCCTCTCTGCCGCAGGGCGAGCTGCGGATGGCAAACAGTGTCGGGACAACCCCTGGCGTTGGCCTCGGGCACCGCGTGGACCCTCCCACCTCGAACGACCGGCGGCATGTCGATCGCCGATTCGGTCCGCGGTTGCTGTTTCTGGGCCGCTGCCGGCGCACGAAACTCGAACGCCCGCGGCGGGCACCCAGCGGCGCGGACTTCTTGGGGCTGGCGCCTCCGAGACGACGAGCGACGCTACCCCCATCGCTGACCTGCCTCCCCTGAGGTCCTGGCGTCACACTTGTGCCGCAGCGGGCGGTCTGGCCCCGCATGACGATGGGGTCCAGGGCTCCAGTCGAATCCGTTTCACGATGTCGCACTTTTCTCGTGACGTCGGGTCGCAAGGTCCCCCAAGAGATCCACGCGGCCCTCCGAGAACTCATGCTGTATCCGCTTTTTTGTTCTGCTGGGCACCACCCTGCTGGTCGTAGATCGGGTCATAGACCGGGTCTCCCGCAGCTGCCCGAGACAATACAGATCCCCCCCCCACTCCCAGCGACGCGCAGTTGCTGGAACGCTACGCGAGGCTCGAAAACCTCGGTGCGCACACAAAAAACTGAAGCCTCCTGGCCAGACATTCGACGTCGCGTTTCTTCCACAGCGTGGCTCCCCAGAGGTCTGGGCCCCTTCCTCGGGACTGATTTTGGATCGAATCGTTTCTTGACGGTCCCGCGGCCTGGTGAGGGCCCCCCGAGGCCGAAGCAGAGCAAAGTCCTTCCGTCGTGATTTGTCCATAACCTGAGTACGAGGCCTCTTCCGGAGAAAACCGAAAAGATACCGATGCAGCCACTCCCTGGACCACTCCCAGGGTGCGTTGTGACAAGAATTTCGAGACGATTCGAGCCGTGGCGACTAGGGCCTAAACGGCCAGTAAAAAGCGAAGGCGAGAGAAGGGTCGCGACATCGGTTTGAAGTCGGCTGAGGGGTCTTTTCTACATTGGCACCAGCATGACCAGTGAGGAGGGGAACGGGGGCAGGCCCATCTGAAGAAGCGGCCTGGGGGGCACAGAGAACGAAACCTGTGTGCAACATGGTGCCAACTGCCTACTCCCCGTCTCAAACGGCTGGAGCCAGGTTAATGCCCCATCTCTGCCCCCACCCTGATCATCGAATGCCATAACTTTCTGGTCGCGACCGACGAGATCAGTCGCTGTTGATTCTGCCGCAATGCTTCAAAATCGGTTGCGACTGATCGGTCGCGACTGATTCTGGAATCGATCGAGATCGGTCGCGACCAATTTTGAGAGCCGATCGATCCATGCCGATCGCGACCGAAAGGATTCGGCATCCAGTGATCAGGGCAGCCAGCCCCGAGTACCAGCACGTGAGCTGCCTCCTCGGATCCTCGCTGGCCTGCCTCCCAGGAGCCTCGACCACCAGGAGCTCCACTCCTAGCCGCGGCTGGCTCGAGGCAGACGGCCGCGGTCCTCGATCCTCGATGCTCGTTTCTGGATCCTCACTCCTCGATGCTCCATCCTCGATGCTCACTTCTAGACCCTCACTCCTCGATGCTCAATCCTCGTTGCTCGTTTCTGGATCCTCGACCCTCTATCCTCGATGCTCGTTTCTGGATCCTCCATCCTCGACCCTCGATGCTCGATGCTCGTTTCTGGATCCTCGAACCTCGATCCTCGATGATCGTTTCTGGATCCTCCATCCTCGACCCTCGATGCTGGATGCTCGTTTCTGGATCCTCGAACCTCGATGATCGATCCTTGATGCTTGTTTTACGGACCCGCGACCCTCGATGCTCGTTTCTGGGTCTTCAATCCTCCCAGAAACCGGACGCCATGTTTTTTCACGACGTCGATCCCCAAAGGTTTCGACCCATTCCCCTGGATCCGTTATCATCCCGAGTCGTGTGTGGGCGGTCCCGAGGCCAGGTAGGGGTCCCCAGAGGCCGAAAATAGCAAAACCTCCCGTCGTGATGTTTGTCATGACCCGAGGGTGCCTGGGCTCGATTGCTCGATGCCCGCCCTCTCGCCGGGAGGATCCTCGACCACCAGGCGCCTCAGCTTCTCGGACACGCGCGCGCGGATGCGCTCCACCGCGCGCTCGGCCACGCAGGGCGGGCTCATCGCGCCGAAGCAGCCGAGCAGGGCGTCCACGTCGTCCTGGCGGCCGCTCTCTCGGTGGGGGCGCCGCCAGCACCAACATCACGGCGGAATGGTCGGGGTTCACGTCTTCTGGCGTTTCCATCAGTTCCTGGGAGTTCCCACGATCGGTGAAATCATGAAGACTCATCATCGATTGGAAGTTCGAGATGCTCTGACGTTTCCATCAATTCCTCGACGTCTTCCAGCCTCGGGAAGCTCTCCCGCAACTGCGCCTCACCGAAGGCATTGAGGGGTTGCCTGGATGGTCCCGAAAGCCTGCTGGCTGAGGCCCGAGCGACGTCCCGAAAACCAAGCATCACCCGGACCCCTTGCCCCTTGGGGTGTATCCCAGGGTTCCCCACCTTGTCTGAGCGGCCAAAACTTGTTGGGCGGAACCGGGGGATTGGGAGAAGAAAAACCGCCTGCGGCCGACCTCCTGGCCAGGGCGCACACCGCGGAGGCACAAGCAGAAAATGCAGCGGCGCGAGGCTGGCCTGCGAGCACGCACAGAGGGAGCGCGGCACATAAAGAAAACACACTGGCGCGCGAGCGTCCGCCAGCCTCGCCGGCGAGAAGCTGCCGGGCTCCCCCCCGAGGATGGCGGATGCTGGAGGAGGAGGCCGACTGCAGAATTGATGTACCCCCAATATGCTTTTTCTGTCGATTCTGCGATCAGTATGCTAATCCTTTCGGGTCTGCGAACTTTCTACACATCGCTCGTCGGTTCGGCGAGAAAGCCACTTTGGGGGCAAATCGATTATGTTGTCCACCTCCTGCTCGACGGATGGAGGAGGCAGGAGCGCGTGCGGCCACGGCGCTCCGGACAGGAACAGAGCTGCCACAACGCGAAATGCGTTTGGCTTTCGGGGGCCATAACTCGGACCTCCAGGGGCCGTTCGCAACGATCCGGGCAGCCTCAGAGCGCCCTCGGCGAGGCGCAGCTGCTGGAGAGCGTCCCGAGGCTGGAAAACCTCCAGGAACAGATGAAAACGACAGAAATGAGGAACCGAACTCTAGACACCGACGCCTTTTTCGGCCCCGCACTGAAATTCGCACAGTAAGGCGGATCCTGGCGTATACGGGATCCTGGTGTATACGTTTCTCGTTGTTTCCACGGGGAAACGGGGAAACAAGTATACCACCCCGACGTCGCCCCCGACCCTCCAAAAAACCTGGAATTGAAAACCAGCCCGCCACTGATAATGTATAGGCGCCAGCTTCCGAAGAACATCTCGAACCTCGAATCGCTCATGATTTCTCTGCCACGCCGCGAGGAGGCCACGCCTCCTCGCGGCTGCCGTGCACCGCTTCTCGCGCGCAACCTTGGCGAGGGCACCCCGCAGCTCGGCTTCATCGGGGGGCAGCCAAGCGGCGGGCGATGACCCGGGAAGGAGGAGGGAGAAAGAGGAGGAGGAGGAGGAGGAGGAGGAGGAGGCGAAAGAGGAGAAGGAGGAGGAGGAGGAGGAGGCGAAAGAGGAGGAGGAGGAGGAGGAGGAGGCGAAAGAGGAGAAAGAGGAGGCGGAGGAGGAGGAGGAGGCGAAAGAGGAGAAGGAGGAGGAGGTGGGGGGGCCGACGCGCACTCGCAACGCTGCCCTCGCCAGGACCTCTGCAGGCCCCCTCCGAGGCACCGGCAGCGCCGCAGGCGCCTAGGGCCCTCCGCGCCGCAGAGCGTCTGCCGCGGCCCGCCCCCTGGGGAGATCGCCGTGTGGCGGTTTGCGCCCGGCGCACGCTCGCCTTCCTTTTGGGGTCTCCCCAGGGGCTCGCTCTATACATCCCATCTTTCTCGTACCCTTCTGGGGGGGGTACAGGGCAGCTTTTCATACATGTTACACAGGATTCAACAATATATATATATATATATATACATATATATATATATATGTATATATACATATATATATGTGATGTTTGATACATGGTTAATTTATGAATAAAATGTATGCATGCACTCATTGTGGTTTTAATATTAAATCCCTGCATTCTAAATACATGATCCGCACGCGGAGCATGCATTAAAAACGGCACTGTACCACGACGGCGCGGTGTCACACCGTGCTGTAACCTCGGAGAGCCCCCCACGACCTCACCGCAGGGACCGCCACCGCGCCGCCGTGGAGCCCTGGAGGCCCCAGGTTGCCCGAGGCATCTCGGCGAACGCGCACGCGAAGCGCGTCTTCCACTAGAGGAACTGGAAGCTGCATAAACAATATTTTGCGTCGTGGTATCCCCTCTCGGGGATACCCATAGAGTTAAGTCGGACCTGTCCCCCTACAGGGGGATTTTCTACCAGAAATTGAAATACACCAAAATACCAAAAAATAACAAAAAAATAGTCTGGGGACTATTTTTTGAATATTCTTTTACCTCTTTGGGGTATGTTTGAAGTATTTTTCATTTTTCGTCGAAAATCCCCCGTGTAGGGGGACAGGCCCGACATAACCATACAGCACTGGCACACGTTTGGCCTGGCGGCCGCCATGTGCAGTCGAAGGCACGAGGCGGGATACTCAGGGAGCACCGGCACAGCTTGGGCCTGCCGGCCGCGGCTTGAAGGGTGTGCGGGGCGCGTCGGAAGCAACGTCTTCCAGCCTAACGGCCCCAACCTGTCGGGTGGGGCATTTAAAATTTCAGAGGTCCAAGCGGATGTCTTGGAACGGCGCTGAACCCCCTGCGGCGCCTCCAGAGCCGCTCCTGGCGCGCTCCGCGCGCCAGAGAGGGGGTCCAGCGTCGACCCAAGAAATCCGCGCGGACCACCGAAAGCCTATTTTAGTGTGTTTGTTTCGTCTTTCACCCTCGGCAACAGCGACCATGTTGGCCTCGTCCTCAGGCCGTGCGCATACCCGCAGCAAAGCTGTACCGCAGCGTGAGACGGATCAGAGCATGGCGGCCGTCCAGGCGCCAAATGCACGAGTGCGTACTATGCAAAGCAGTCAGCATCAAGCCGTCAACCCACGTGAGACCCGAACAGTATCTCAGAGCCTGGACCTGGCGCGACCCAGCCGAGCTGCGAGGCTGTCACGGATGTCGCGCTTTTGGATCTTCTCGGTTGCGCCGCGGGGTAGCCTCTCTTCATTGAAAAATATAAACTCTTCGTCGGGTATCTTGAACCTAGCGATCTTGCCAACAACTTGTTCCCTTAGCTGCTTTGCTGTGACGTCCTTGCCAGCATTTGACTTGACAACCATGAGGCCAACAATTTCGCCAAGACGATCGTCGGGTATCCCGACGGCGGCACACTCTAACACACTGCCCGTCTCGATGAAGGCAGCTTCGACCTCTGCGCACGAAATGTTCTCGCCTCCTCGGATGATGAGATCTTTGGCGCGGTCCAGGATATAGACAAACCCGTCCTCGTCCAGCATGCCGATGTCGCCAGATGCAAACCATCCGTCCTTGTCGAGCACCTCCGCAGTCTTCTCGGGCATCCGGTAATACCCCTTCATCACCAGCGGCGACTTGATGAACAGCTCGCCGCTCTCGTTGGCTCCGAGAATGGCGCCCGAGTCCACGCTGCGGACCTGGATCTCGGCGATCAGGCAGGGGGGACCGATGGTCGTGGGCTTCTGCTGGTAGACATCGCCTATTTGCAGGCCGCCCGGGGGTCTGAGCTGGATCAAACCACAGAACATCTGTGAAGAGCGGGGCATGAGGGCGAATTCGCCCAAATGGGTCCCCAGACCCCTCGAAGGGTCGAAACCGACCAATATTTCGAGGCGCGTCCAGCTGTGGCGACGAAGGTTGGCCCCTTTCTCCACCCATGCCTGCTGGCCGGAACCAGTGCTGGGCCTCCTCAGCTTCCCGGCCGGCTCCAATCGCCTATCACAAAGCACACGGCGCCCGCGGTCTCGGTGAGGCCGTAGCCGTTGTGGATGCCGCCGCTGCCGGAGCCCTTGAACTTGGAGGCCGCCTTGGCCACCTGACTCTTCGGGGTCGGCCCCCCGCCGCTGCCCACGGCCGTCAGGGAGGAGGTGTCGTACCTGTCGAAGTCGGGGTGCTCCATCAGGTCCTGCCGCGCGGGGCGGGGAGGGCCCGGGCCGCGCAGAGACGGCCCCGCAGGGCAGCCCCGGCGGGCCCGAGCAGGCCCCCCGAGCAGCCCCGGGCGGCCTCGACGCCTCGGGCCGCCGCCTCCGGCGGCGCCCCAAAGGCGCTCCGCGCCCCAGGCGTTGGGGGTGCTGAGCCCGCTCGGGGCTGCTGCTCGGGGGGCCCGCTGAGGCCGGGAAGGGCCTGCCTCGGGGGCTCCGCGGGGACCGCCCGTGCGCAGCCCCGAGCCCTCTACCAGCCCTGGGCGCCGGCCTCCTGCGATCTGTGCTTCCAATCCGACGAGAGCCTGGCGCCACAGTGTGCTCATGAGCGGCAGGCGAGCCTGCCTTGTTTCGAGCCCCGGGGCCCTCGCGGATTGACCAAGCTCGGATACAGGCCTCCCACGTGAGGTCCGAGTGGGGTCGGAGAACGCGATGCATCGGCGATGCATCGGTGACGTAGGCGACGCATCGACGACGTCGGCGTGGAGAAAAAATCGGGCTCCGCATCGAGCCGCATCGGCGATAAATCGGCGATGGAACGCGATCCTCCGACCCCACCAGCTCGGACACCATCTGGGAAACCCAGAAGCAGAAAGATGGGGCGGGTCGAGCTTGTTCACGATTTTGCATTTTTCGTAACGTCGGATCTCAGAGTTGATCACTTCACTTCGGCGTCTGGGGGCCGCTGGTAGGCTTCCTCCAGGGGCGGTCAAGTCTACCTACAGGGAAGGGGCCGGTTCTGCTGAAATGACTGCTGGATTTGCTAAGACGATACGAGGCTGAGAAGCCGATACTAAAATGGATTCGACCGCGGCCTAAACTAGTTCATAAGTGGGCAACACAGGTGCCTTATTGATTCAGGGAGGTTCACGGTCCAGGCCAAGTTGGCTCCGCTCACGTGGCGGAATTATCGACCCCCCCGTAACCACTCAGGGCACCAGTAACCCACCCATCATCATATGCTAGCCTAGGCCGGGCATGACCCAGGACCCCCTCAGCACCCATTTCTACCCCCCCATCCACCCAGCCACCGGCGCGGGCATCTCAGTGGGGCCGCGGGTTGAAAACCGTCAGATGACGCCTGGGGAACCGAGCTGGCAGTCGGTGCTCTCTGCGCCCAGGCAGACCCGGCCTGCCACGAGCGCGGTCGAGGTAGGAGGCACGCAGACCGGTCCTCCTCGTGCACACACACACACGCCCTCGCAAGAGCCAAGCTCCAGGTCTGAGGCGTAATCGACGTGACTGGCTATCGCCGTCTCGTGGCGACGAGGGCTCCGAGACACCCTTCGCATGTGGAAGAGGTCCTCCTCGTGCTCGTCCTCGTCCGCCGCCGTCCGCCCCCCTCTCCAGAACGGGCCCAGGCGGAGAGGGTCGTGGACCCCGGCTTCCCCTGGGGCCAGCTCTTCATCCCGCGGTGCTTGTCGACCGTCTTATTTGTGCGCCTTGTGAGGGGCCCGATCGAACCCAGCTGCGGCCGCGTTCCCCGCAAGACCCATGCCACCTCCTCCGACACATCGCCTCCGTTCCGCGAAGAACGTGGCCCCCGGGAATCTCGAGTCCGTCCCCGGGACTGGCTCTTCACCCTGATGCCTTCTCTGACGGCCCCGGGGCCAGAAAGACAAAGAGGAGGTGGAGGAGGAGGAGGAGGAGGAGGAGGAGGAGGAGGAGGAGGAGGAGGAGGAGGAAGGGGGGGGAAGAGGGGGTGGAGGAGTGGAAGGAGGAGGAGGAGGGGGAGGAGGAACTGGCTCCCCGAGGCGGAGCAACAGAAGCGCCACTATATCCTGGCGTCGCCCAGATCTCGGAGTGGACAGGACCCCCCTTTCAGCACAACGCCCTGTAGAGTACAGGCTGCCAAGGACAGTCCACGGGCGCACGGCACCTCATTTCGAGTGCACCCCAGCGGGGTAGCTAACCGACGTCCAAAAGCAAGAGCATGTATCGGGCGAAACGCACGCCGATTCACGAAACCATCCCGGGCACTGCACCCGGACACTCGAGTGCAGAAGTCGAGAGAACCCGTGCGGAGTTCCTCGGTCGCCTTGTCCGCGCGGGCGTTCGAAGTATCAGCACCCGAGGATCTCAGGGTGTGCGTCATGCCGTTCAGATCCCCCTCCCTCCCTGAAAAGGCAGCCAGAGCGCGCTCGAGAGGACATCGGACCCCAGGCCCCCCCCCGAGGGGCAGCAGCGCGCGCTGAGGAACCGAGGAGCCACTGGGGAGAAGGCTCCAGGGAAGAGCTGGGGGCACGCAGCCCCCAAATATCGAAGGATCGACGTGCTGATGCGCTGTGGGCCCCAGGAACGGCATGGCCGTTGTTTCACCATTTCCGAAAGAAGCGTTTCCTGAAAATGGCAACGACAAAAACGGCGACCAGAAACAGGAAACAATTGCTCCGGGAATGGAGCTGGAGCCAGAGCCAGTACAACAACGGCGACGGAACCGGTAAAAAAACGGCGTCGGAACCGACAATAACAACAGCAAAACGGAACCGGTAAAAACACGGCCCTGTCGTTTCCAGGGCCCACCACCCGTCGCCTCATTCTCTGGAGGAGCAAAAGACACCATCAACCCAAGTTTCTGCAGGTCCGCGCAGGGTCCTTGGATCGGAATTGGAACCTATCGCGGCGCCTCCAGCGCCGCCTCTGGCGCGCTTCGCGGGCCAAGAAGAGGGGGGGATCCAGTGCCGATCCTAGAAACCTGCACCGACCTCAGAAAGTATGTGATTCTGCAGCTATTCCTCTTTCGGTCATCCGCATCCTGTCCTGAATCATGGTGGGCACGCCTATCCACGTTGTCGCCCGCTCGCGCTCGATGAGCTGCAGCGCCCGCAGCGGGTCCCACTTCGGCAGCAGCACTAGCTTGCGACCGTTGATGGGCGAGGCGAGCAGCAGGTGGACCAGCCCGGTGACGTGGAAAAGGGGGACGCTGGGAGCAGAAAGCGGTTCGGTATTCCAAAGCGGTGTGGTGACGGACCGATCGGCGACCTCGACATCCCCAAAGGCCTCACCGCACGGTTCGTCACCGCACGGTTTTGGGACCTCGGAGGCTCAAGTCCCCCGCCCCGAGACATCCTCGGAGAACAACCCGAGTTCCAAAACCGTGCGGTGGCCCTTGATCCCCACTGACTCACCACACCGTTCGGGGGCCCCCGAACCGGGATCGCACCCGCACTGCCCTCCCGGCCCTTTCCGCGGAGGCGCGCGCGCTCATGCCCGGGCTCGCGCTCCCGCGGGCGCCGGGGAGTGCGCGCGGGGGGGGCTACTCGGGTAGGCCATCACAAAAGGTTAAGCCAATGTTGCTCAAAAAGCTTAATACGAATAACTCGATTACTCGGATACTTAAGTAGCACGTGTCGCCGCGTCGTTTGTTCTCGACGCGCCCGAGTGGATAATGTCGCCACCAGGGCGAAACCACGGCAAACCCACGGCAAGCGCTGCGCCCGAGGCGGCGTTTGCCCTGGTGGCCGAGGCGCCCTCCCCAAGACGGAAGGCATCGCGTCGGAACAACAGGCGCGGCGACACACCCCAGGCCCTCCCCCCAAAAAACGAATTTCGGCCTCCCATGGCCCCCTGGACGCTCCTGCAGGGCGTATTCTTGGCCTTCCGGGCCTGTTGGACGTCCATGCTGGGCCTCGCAGATGGGCTCAGAGCGGTCAGGAGGAGAGGCCAGACGGCCCCGCGAGAGCCCTACGCGGCCCCAGACACCCCCAAGACGCTTGAAGAGGGCCCAAAGAATACACCCAAGAGGCTCTCCAAGCGCAAAAATGATTGCATTTCCATGTATGTGCATATTCCGGGGTACTCGCTTCGCTGCCTTCCAGGCTTCCAAGGCCGCTCAAGAAGGCCCGGACCTCGCATCAGAACTAACCCATAGAGCACCCAGCAAGTCCAAGGAGAGTCCCAACACGGGCCCCAGGGCGGCCCGCAGACAGCCCCCATGGCGGCCCAAGATTCCCCCATGACACCGCCGAATGTCCGGTAGCCTCGTCCCTATCAGGGAGGCGTCGGGGCCAAAACCGTGCCCGAAGATCAGCCCGAGTGTGATCGAATCTGGCACCCCGAAGATTTCTGGCCGCACCCGAATGTGACCGAAATGTCTGGTTCGAAGCCAAGACGATTTCCAATTTCGGTCACATGTTCGGTCACACTACGTTTTCGGTCACAATTTCGGCCACGTTTTCGGTACCGAATATTCTTCGGTCACCTACCTTTTTGGCTAATGGGGGCGGGGTGCCATGCCGAATGGCGAAACCGAAGTCGGGACCCCTTTCCCTCAGGGCTTCACTCTCCCGCGCGGACGAGAGGAGGAGCGGGCTGGGAGAGTTGGCGGCGCGCTCGAGGGGCTGTGGCGCGAAGGGGGCGGCCTCCCTAAGAAGGCCACGGGGGTGCTCCCGAGAAGGCGGGCGGCTTCTCAGCAGCCCTCCCTGGGCTTCCCAGCTCCGAGTAGAGGCACCCCGCTGGTCTCCTAGAAGCATCCGTGCGCTTCTGCGGAGGGCCCCTGCCTTCTACGTAGAAAGACGCACCCCCCCTGTCCCGCCTGCTTGCAGGCCACCCCTCCGCTCCTCAGACACCCGAGGTCGTGTTCTCTTCTCGGGGGCGGTCCAGAGGGGGGTGTCCAAGATGGCGGGGGTGCAAATCATGGCCAGCGTCATGTGCACGGTCCAGGGGAGGGTCCAGGGACGCCATGGAATAAGAGGAGGCGCCATGAAATCGGGGGAGATCTCATGCCCCACGCCATGATATCCACCCCCCCTAGTCATCACCCCCCTCTTTGCCGCCCCCGATGTTCACGGGGTGGCTCCCCAGAGGTCTGGACCCCGCCCCCGGGGCCCAGCGACTCGCCCTGAGTCGTTCTCCAACGGCCCAAGGGGCCCGCTGAGGACTCCGGGAGGCATATAGAGCTGACAAGAACCCTCCGTCGCGTCTCCTTCCACAGCGACAGGATGTCGGGGAGGGGAGGGCTGCGGCAGCTGCGTCGGTCCTGCTCCCAGGATCGGCAGGATGCAGCACGTCTGCGACGCGGCGGCGACCCCCAGCCTCTGTTTGAGCCCGTCGGTGACCGCCACGCTGAAGTCGCTCATCATCATCTGCTGGCAGATGTTCCGGTGCGTCAGGACGACGCCCTTCGTTGGGAGTCCACTTCTCGGGGGACTTTGTAAGAGCGTTTCAAAGCGTGTTAGCCCGACCAAGGTGCCATCCGGCCAGACTGAGCCAGAGAGCGCCCAGGGTAAACCTGGCGGGATGAAGCCCGATTGAACGGGATGTGGTCTGATTGGGCTGTTTTGAGACAGCGGATGTACCAAAATTCTGTGTATGCCATGTCTCTGTTAATCGATCAATCTTCGACGACGGATATATCAGCGCCGATGCTGAATACAACATCCCATGAAACGCGTCCAAGCCTTCGGGCTGCCCGTGGTTCCCGACGTGTACATGATCGTGGCCATGTCGTCATGGCAGACTCCGTTGCTCGACGGCCTCTTGCTGGCGCCAGCGGACACGAGGTCGGCGAAGCCGACGCAGCCCGTGGGCACGGACCTGGCGCGGGCGACGACGACCCTGACGCCCAGCCGTTCGCACGCGGCCTTCCCAGACCTCCGACGGTACTGTTCTTGTCCATCCCGTAGCTCTGCCACGCTGTCGGCCCCTGGGGCCTCCTCGGGCCTCGGGCCTCGGTGCCATCAGGAATTGAACCCCGGGGCCAGGGATGGAAAAGCCATGTCGGAGGGAGTCTGGGCTTCGGGAGGGACGAAGAGCATCGGTGATACGCCACGGTGAGACGCCCGTCAGCATGTTGCTCCGCCCTTCTTGCTCGAAGGTCTGGTCCTTCTTCGCTCGTGACACGCCGATAGGTCCCCTACGGCGGCGTGTCATCGATGCTGTTTCTGCTCCCCCAGCCTTGGCCATGCTGTAGCGGTCCTCGTCGCAGATGTATACCCTGGTGCCCGAGTCTTGCAGTCCGTACTCGTACTCCGCGTCCTTCCACAGGCCGTGCTGGCAACGCTTGAGGGGCTGCACACAGGCAGGCCCTCCTCAGACATCCGGCGTCGTGATCTGAGGGAGCGAGATCCACCGTAGCTCGCCTGAAAATTCTCGAAGGGGGGGTCAGGTATCAGGAGACCCCCCCTCCTTCAAGAACTCTCTCTTAGTTACGAGAGGGGGTCAGAAACCAGGGGGCCCGTCCCCTCCCCTACCTCCGCCCGAACCCCCTCTCAGGCTGGGGGAGAATCCAGGAAGTCCAGGTCCCCCCGCTCCCCCCGGGAAAAATTCGTGAGGTCAAGAAACCCCCACCCAGAAAATTATTCGGGGATTCAGAAGCCCCCCCCCCCCGGCGACGACGACGACGACGACGACGACGATGCCTACGACGACGCCGACAACGTCAGCGGCGGCGGCGGCGCACCTGTCGCTGGCGCCCGCGCCAAGCGCCGGCTCTGATATAATGTTACTGGGGCTCGCTCCCGTTTTCTCAGAATCCTGCGAATGTCCTACTGTACTCGACCCTACTCTACTCTATTCTGCTCTACTCGCTTCTACTCTCCGCGACACTACTTTGTCCTTCTCGAGGCTACCCTACCCTACTCTACCCTACCCTCACGTATCCTAACATACTCTACTTTACACTACGTTGCTCCCACTCCATTATACTCTACTCTACTCTACTCTACTCTACTCCAGCTCTCCTCAATTCAGATCTGCACTACGCTCAGATCTACTCGGCTTGACTCGACTCTACTTTTGCTCTACTTTTATAATCGAATGTTTTCTGCTCGACATTACCCTACTCTTACCTGGTCTACATCGCCTTATTCCACTAAAATTCAACTCTACTCTACTCTACTCCAAACATACCCTACCGTATCCAACCCTACTCTGCTCGACTCGACTCTGTCCTACTCCGAATTTCTCATATTATATGCTACTATGCCAAGCCTACGCCTACTCTACCCTATTCTACTCTACACTACTCGATAATGCTCTACTCCACTCCACTCCACTCCACTCTACTCTACTCTACTCGTCGTCGTCGTAGTTGTCGTCGTTGTCGTCATCGGCGTGCTCGTCTTTTGCTGGCGGCGGCGACGCCGTCGTCGTCGTCCTTGCCAGGAGGGGGGATTCTTGACCAGCCTGTTAATTCTCCCAGGGGGGAAAGCATCTGGACCACCCCAAATAATTGTTCCCAGAGGGGGGAAGGGGGTTGAACACCCCCGGCAAACAGCGTTTTGTTTAATGATTTTGTTCGCAACATGGCTCCCCAGAGTTCTGGACCCCTTCCCTGCGACCGGCTTTCCATCCCGAGTTCTTCTTGCTGCCCGTCCCGGGGCCCGGCGAGGGCCTCCAGAGGACGGCGACAGCAACACAGATGCCGTCGCGACTCTGTCGCATCCCGAAGCGGTCTGCGGCCCCAGCTGGCCTCCACGCCCCCCCCCCCCCCGCCCCTCGAGATTCGCCCAGGGGCGGCCAGAACTCGCGGGCGTGCGCGGCGCCACGCGAGGGGGGCAGAGGAAGGCGGGCACGGCCAGAGGCGTGTCGCTGGGCGTTGGGGCCGCCAGGCATCGACAGGCCCGTGCCGTGACGACTTCAGCGCGCGGGTCCTGACACCGTGTGGTCCTGGGGCGATCACTGGGATCCTGGGCACTTTCGCTGAGGGCACCGCCAATCCCAGACCTGCCAGCGTCGCGAAAAAATCGCGACGGGGGGTTTGTGGTAATTTTCAGCCGGGGGCCCTCGCCGGGCCCTGGGACCGTCAAAAGACAACTCAAAATAAAGAACTGGTGCCGGGGAGTGGGTTAAAAACTGTATGGGCTCGTGTCATGAAACGATCACGACGTTGGGGGTCGAGCGGGGCGGGCTGCCGATCGAAGGCTGGACCAGGATTGAAGGTACGATGATCCTGTGCTACATGCGGTGCTGGGAGGTGGTGCTACTGCACCACTACGAAAGTTCGGCCTAGATGCAGCGTCTCTCGTTAGGCGACGGAGCCCCCGTACAACGTTGTCAGTGGCGTTGCGCCCGCGATTCGAGGGGAGACGTCAAACGGGCTTGTTAGACCGTGGGCCCCAGTACAATGTTCTGTTCAAGCATTGTTTTGCTCAAGTCTCGGGTGGAACCGCCCTTTCGAATTCGCACCCGATGGAATCTAAATCCAAGCGAAATCAATGTTTGGAGGAAGTCTCAAGCGAAAACCACACTGCCGAAATGTCGGGTCAGAAAATTATGCTTTTTAATGCCAAGCGGTGTGGCCAGGTGGAAACAACGGTTTCGCTTGATACTTCTTCAACAACAGTTTCGAACAATTTCGAAGCTTTCGGTTTCGATTTCGAAATGGCGTTCCCGCCCAAGATTTCTTTCTAACTATATTTCGAAACCTTTCTGGCTCGATTTCAAAATGGCGCTCCCGCCCCAGACCTCCTCCGAAAGAAACTTCGGAGCCTCTCGGGTTCGAGTTCGAAATGGCGCTCCCGCCCAGGACTTCCTGACAACTGGAATTCGGCACGCTTCTGATTCGATTTCGACCAGGACTTCCTCGAAAATAGAGGTCGGCACTGCTTCAGCTCGAATTCGCACTGGCGCTCCCGCCTAAGTCTTGACTTGGTGGAAGCACGACACGGGTCAAAACTCGAGTAGCGCTCCTGTAGCGATGGGGAGGGAGTTATGCAGACCCCCTCGCGACGTGAAAAAATCCTGGCCCCCGAGATCCTGGCATCGCACACTTGTCACGGAGAGCGAGCTGCTTGGTTTAGGACCCCAGGGACCTCACGGATCGATCCGGCTCGGAATACGCCACAGAAAGATGGGATACAGGGCTCTGGTCGAGTCTTCTGCGATGTTGCATCGCCTTCGTGACGTCGAATCTCGGCATTGAACGATCGGCGGCATCTCGGCCGCCAGATCACTCCATGTCGGCCGATTCGGGGTCGCTGGCGACGTTCAACCTCGAACGCACGCGCCAACGCCGATGCCGCGCCGTCACGACACGACACCTGCGATATCCTGGAACGCATATTCTATCGTTCGCGTAACGCCCGTGACTAGCCTACCCGTGTGATCATCATCAGCCACATCATCACCTGAAAAATGATAACCTTTAAACGTCAGAATCGTCATCTTCATCTTCACCATCCTCATTGTCATCATCACCATCCGCATCATCATCGTCATCATCGTCATCATCGTCACCATCATCACCATCATCACCTTGATCATCCTCATCATCATCAACATCATCAGCATCAGAATAGCCATCCTCATCCTCATCCTCATTCCCAACTCCGTTTCCTTAAACAACTCCTCCCTGTCGCACCCCGAGGCCGCTCGAAAGCGCGGACTGGGCGTTTCGCTTTGGACGTCATCACCATTCACGACTGCAGCTTAAACGTTGCCAACAGTTACACGGGCTGAAAGCGGGTCGTTTCAGCATGTGGCGCTCGCATTAGCGCCGCGCACATTCGGTTCGAAAGCTTGCACAAGTTTCACTGATTGAGGCTGGTGGTTTTCAAAATGAGGCTCTCGCCTCAGCGCCGCGCACACTCGTCTTAAACACTTGCACCAGTCTCACGGATTCCCATGGTCAACGTGCCAGAAATCGTGTTCTAGAAGGACTCATCACTGTGAGGGTGCAAGCATTCTGATAATTCGCGATGCTCAAATCCCAGAAATGGTGTGCTGGCACCATTCTGGGTCGTCAAGACGCAACAGTCATGTTGATTCGTGGCGCTGGAGTAACCATGTTCGTGTTTTGGCACGCTTCAGGGTCTTCAAACGGTTGTCTCCCAACGCGGCAGCTCCCTCAGTGGAAATGAACCTTTGTAGGGGCTGTGAAGAGAGAGGGAGGGTTTACTCCAACATCGTTGATGAGTCTTGGGCTTGCACTTGCCCTTATCCTCATCCTCATCCTCCTCCTCCTACTCATCCTCCTCTTGCACCTCCTCCTACTCACCATCGTCGTCATCATCCTCATCCTCATCCTCATCCTCATCCTCATCCTCATCCTCATCATCATCGCCCCTCCCTGGTCACGTCTCCATCACCCCCCACCCCCACCCCAGGCCACGCCCATGATCGCCAGGGGATGCAAATCATCTTCTTGGGGCCTGCCGAGACCAGCTGGGGCCACCTCCCTGGGCTGTCTGCGCGAGCACCCGAAACCCTGCCAGAGGCTGTTCAGCGGCACAGCCACGGCGCCCATCCGCGTTGTGCTGATGTAGGCGAGGCACCACTCGGGGTAGTTCCTCTCCGCGGCGAGCCCAGAGGGGAAGTCCGAGGGGGCGGGCCTTCTCAGAAGGTTCAAAAGGCCTCTCCGGCCTCCTGAACAGTTTCGCGAGCCTTCCCCAGAGACAGAGGCGGCTGCTCAGACGGCCCGAGGGCTTCCGGAAGCCCCGCCGGCCTCTGAGAAGGCCCGCCCCATCTCACCACCCCCCCTGGCGGGCTGGCCGCTGAACCTCATTCCGATCGCCACGCGGTCTCCCGCCTGAACCTAGAGGAAGAAGCAAAAGGCACAGACATAGACTTTCGCAGCTCCGGGCGAACTTCTTGGGTCGGCGCTGGGCAACCCTGGCAGCGCCTCCGGCGCCGCTCCTGGGGCGCGGAGCGTTCCAGGAAGGGGGGTCCAGCGCAGAGAGTGCAAATCCGAGAAGTCCACGTAGAGCCCCCATAATTTACAATACGTGTATGCCGCTTCCTCTTCTTCGAGAACCCCCAGCGTGGTTTCAAGAGCGTGGGCCACCCCAGCGGCGACTGCGTCCACCTGGCTGAACGTGAGCCTCTCGTCGTCGAAAACTAGAAAGTCAGACCCCGGGAACCGGGCAAAGCAGTCCTCATAATAAGCGGCCAGGCTGGGCCACCCGTTCTTCATGTAGGCGCCGTACGTGGGGCCGTGGGCGACCGTGATCGGCCCCAGCTCGAAG